CTGAAGAAAAACAAAATAAAGACAAAAAAAATAAAGGAAGAATAGAAGGAGGCGGAGAGAGGCGGAGCCTGCAGGAGCGCAGGTGCGCATCAGCAACACCCTTTATTATCAACACAGCACAATAAAGAGGAGGACCGGACGGAGGGATGAGAAGATGTAAAGGAATAAAGGATAAAGGAGATGATGTGTTTACAGTGAGTGAACCGACAATGAGTCTGACCTTTCACCTCTCACTGGCTGACCTGTCACCTTTCATACTGACTCTGATAATTCAGGCTGAGTTCAGATCCTCAGTGTCATTGTTTAGACCACTGTGTTATGAGATGCTGCATGAAGCCCCGCCCCCAGCTCCTATTGGCCGACACACTGTTATGTCAGACCACAATCAGCTGAAGTTATAAACTTCTGAGAAAAGACACACAGGATAGCAACAAAGGGGAGGGAACCTATGTTCCCAGAGTCCTATATTATTAGGGTCCAATGTTCCCAGGGCTTTATATTTCCAGGGCTCTATATTCCCAGAGTCCTGTGTTCCCAGGGCTTTATATTTCCAGGACTAAATGTTCAGAGAGTCCTATATTATTAGGGTTCTATGTTTCCAGGGCCATATATTCCCAGAGTCCTATATTATTAGGGTCCAATGTTCCCAGGGCTCCATATGTCCAGTACTCTGGGTTCCCAGAGTCCTGTGTTCCCAGGGCTTTATATTTCCAGGACTATATGTTCAGAGAGTCCTATATTATTAGGGTTCTATGTTTCCAGGGCCATATATTCCCAGAGTCCTATATTATTAGGGTCCAGTGTTCCCAGGGCTCCATATTTCCAGTACTCTGGGTTTCCAGAGTCCTGTGTTCCCAGGGCTTTATATTTCCAGGACTATATGTTCACAGAGTCCTATATTATTAGGGTCCAATATTCCCAGGGCTCCATATGTCCAGTACTCTGGGTTCCCAGAGTCCTGTGTTCCCAGGGCTTTATATTTCCAGCACTATATGTTAACAGAGTTCTATATTATTAGGGTTCTATGTTTCCAGGGCCATATATTCCCAGAGTCCTATATTATTAGGGTCCAATGTTCCCAGGGGCTCATATTTCCAGTACTCTGTGTTCCCAGAGTCCTATATTGTTAGTGTCCTATGCTGCCAGAGACCAGTATTCCAGAAGCCTATGTTCCCAGAGTCCTATGTCCTCATGGCCCTATTTTCCTAGAGTCCTAAGTTCCTGACTCTATGTTCCCAGGGTCCCATGTTCTCGGGGTCCTATGCTCTAAGAGTCCTATATTCCTAGGGTCTTATGTTCTCGGGGTCCTATGTTCCCAGAGTCCTATGGTAAACGAGTCCTATAGTCTCAGGGTCCTATGTTCCATGAGTCCTATGTTTCCAGGGCTCTATATTCCCAGGGTTATATGTTCCCAGAATCCTATGTTCTATGAGTCCTATTGTCCAGAGTCCTATGTTCCCAGAGTCCTATATTCCCAAAGCCCTATGATCCAGAGTCCTGTGTTCTCAGAATCTTATATTCCCATAGACCTGTATTCCAGAATCCTATGTTCCCAGAATCATATATTCCCAGATTCCTATGTTCCCAAAGTCCTATGCTCCCATAGTCCTATGTTAACAGAGTTCTATGTTCCATGAGTCCTGTATTCCAAGAGTCCTATGTGCCCAGTCATTTATTTCCAGAGTCCTGTGGCCCCAGAGTCCTATGTTCCCACTCTTATATTCCCAGGGCCCTGTATTCCCAGAGTCCTATATCCAAAGCTCCCAGGGCTCCATATTTCCAGGACTCTGTGTTCCCAGTGTCCTATGTTTTTAGTGTCCTATGCTGCCAGAGACCAATATTCCAGAAGCCTATGTTCCCAGAGTCTTATGACCTCATGGCCCCATGTTCTCAATATCCTATGTTCCTGGCTTTATGTTCCCAGAGTCCTATGTTTCCAGGATCCCATGTTCTCGGGGTCCTATGCTCCCGGAGTCCTATATTCCTAGGGTTTTATGTTCTCAGGGCCCTATGTTCCAAGAATCCTATGTTTCCATGGCTGTATATCCCCAGGGACCTATGTTCCTGGAGTTCTGTATTCCAAAGTCCCTATATTCATATGATCTTATGTTCCCAGAGTTGTATGTTCTCAGGCTATTTTAACAGAGTCCTATGTTCCAAGAGTCCTGTGTTTCCAGGGCTCTATTTTCCCAGGGTCCTATAATCCCAGGACCCTATGTTTCTAGGGAACTATATTCCCAGGGTTATATGATCCCAGAGTCCTATGTCCTATGAGTCCCATATTTCCAGAGTCCTAGGTTCTGTGAGTCATATTTTCCAGAGTCCTGTGTTCCCAGAGTCCTGTGTTCCCAGAATCCTATATTCCCAGAGACCTGTATTCCAGAGTCCTATGTTCCCAGAATACTATGTTCCCAGAGTCCTATGTTCTCAGAGCCCTATGTTCCCAGAATTCTATATTCTCAGATTCCTATGCTCCCAGAGTCCCATGTTGACAGAGTCCTATGCTGCCCAGACTTTTATTCCCAGAGTCCTGTGTTCCCAGTCTTATATTCCCAGAGTCCTGTGTTTCCAGAATCCTATATTCCCAGAGTCCTATGTTCCCAAAGTCCTATGTTCCCAGAATCCTATACTCCCAGAGTCCTGTGTTCCCAGAATCCTATATTCCCAGAGACCTGTATTCCAGAGTCCTGTGTTCCCAGAGTCCTATGTTGACTATGTTCTCCGGGCCCTATGTTCCCAGAATTCTATATTCTCAGATTCCTATGTTCCCAACGTCCTATGCTCCCAGAGTCCTATGTTGACAGAGTCCTATGTTGCTCAGACTTTTATTCCCAGAGTCCTGTGGTCCCAGAGTCCTGTGTTCCCAGTCTTATATTTCCAGAGTCCGATGTTCCCAGAGTACTATGTTAACAGAGTGCCATGGTCCCAGGGCTCTATGACCCCAAAGTCCTATATTCAATGAGTCCTATGTTTCTAGAGCTGTATGTTCCCAAAGTCTTATGTTTCCAGAGTCCTATGTTCCACGGCTTCTATGTTCCCAGGGCTGTTATGTTCCCAAAGTCCCATGTTCTCAGAATCCTAATGTTAGCAGAGTCCTGGGGTCATTGTGTCACCATTTGACCACTTATGTTGGTCCATTCTTCATGAAGTGTTCACACAATGTAAAAGGCAGCTGCTGTGCTTAAATAGTTACAACAATAAACACTGAAAAGCACTAAGAGATGCAATTCCAATGTGACAGTGACAAAGATCATTTTTGAATCACTGCTTTGTCTGGTTTAAGCATGTTGCACTGCCCTTCTTTCAGTTGTTGCTAAGTACACAGCTTTCAGCTTGCTAACTAGCAGGTAAGGAACCAGCTTAAGACATCATCAGGGGTTGCCTGAAATGCTGTTAATAATATTGTGAGGCTGAAATACAATTAAGAATAATAACATTTCAATGAGAACACAGAGGTCTGGAAATACCGGGATGACAAACTGTTTTACCGAACAGTGGGAATTGCTCACAGGGGCCACTGCCTCACACGAAGGACAGCTCAACACTTCCAGCTAACTGTGAAAAGGAAATATGCTAATGTATCTGAACTGTATGTCTCGGTTTCATGTAGCATTACTGAGATATATTTAGATCCTTGAAACAAACCGTATATGCTGCACTCCTTTCCTCAGCCTGAATGTATAAAGCAGGTCCTGCGTTCGCTCTAACAGCAAAGCCTCCTTTTAGCCATTATCGCTAACAGCTGCCCCCTGCTGTTTAACAGCATGTCTGGATAGCATAAGCAGTTAGCCACCTCGCAACAGCCTCACGTACTGCTAACAGTCGAAGAATCTTTCCTGGAGTCAAATGGAGTCTCTGCTCAAAGATCTACAAAAAACTGCACACTAGTCGGACACTTTATCATAAACCCCTCTAACGTAGCTTCAACGTGCGGGTTTACATTTAGAGACTGTAGGTCATCTGAAGCCTTTAATCAACAGTCAGTTTCTGACCACAGAGATCCTCTTGGCTATAGTATGTAAAAAGCCCCAGTATGATATACTCATACCAGCACCACATCAGTGTCACTGCTGAGAACGGACCACCATCCAAATAAAACCTGGACAACAGCAGCCCTGTGGTCAGAAGCGGACTTATAGTGAATGGTGTAGAGGAGGGCTACACTCATCCACTTATATAGTGGAGGTACAAGGTGGGTGTTTCTAATAAAGTGGCCAGTTAGTGGAGGTACAAGGTGGGTGTTTCTAATAAAGTGGCCAGTTACTGGAAGCTCAAGGTAGGGTGTTTCTAATAAAGTGGCCAGTCAGTGGAAGTACAAGGTAGGTGTTTCTAATAAAAGTGGCCAGTCAGTGGAAGTACAAGGTAGGTGTTTCTAATAAAATGGCCAGTCGTGTGAAGTACACGGTGGGTGTTTCTAATAAAGTGGCCAGTGTTAGTGTAAGTCCTCCAGAGTGTTTTATGGATCTGGATTTGTGGCATCATTAGTTAGTAGTGTAAATGTGATGTAACTGTGTTCAAGAGAGAGATCACGTGTGTGTGTGTGTATATGTGTGTGTGTGTGTGTGTGTGTGTGTGTGTGTGTATGTGTGTGTGTGTGTGTGTGTGTGTGTATGTGTGTGTATATGTGTGTGTCTGTGTGTGTGTGTGTGTGTGTGTGTGTGTGTGTATGTGTGTGTATATGTGTGTGTCTGTGTGTGTGTGTGTTTGTGCATGATCACTGGCTCATGCATGTGTTTGCGTGTGATGTGAGATTGAGACAGTCGCCATGGAAATCTTAGTTGCCAGGGTAACTGGGTTCCCCTGGAGGGCTTGGCAGCTGTTGCCATGGAGTAGCCATGGCAACCTGGGGCCAGAGAAGAGGGATGCCACCCTGGACCAGAGGAAGCGAGTGAGCGAGAGAGAGAGACTTTTTTCCATCCTCAGTTCTACTGACCTCTTTCTCTCTCTCTCTGTCAGACAGTATAAACAGTGATGGGCAGCATCTCTCCGTGCTGTCCTCT